AACCATAGAGATAGTATACATAGAGTACAGAAGCCAACCGCAAACGTGAGTCGCAAATAGAAAGAGAGAAGAACACGAGAATGACTACCTCTTTCTCTCTACCGACGCATGCGCAGTACTCATATAGGTGTATATGGGTTCGAATACGTACGCTGTATGCATGCAGAGCATGCGCTCTGCTGCTGTTAAACAAAGAGAGGTAGTAAATTTCTACTTCGTTTTCTTTCTAACAGCGTATCAATTCCACTTACAGGCGAGAATATGGGATCTGTACTCTATCTATAATATCTTTATGGTTTAAGCCCACAAGTGCTGCCATCAGTGCGGTCCCGCCTGATTTTGAACATGCTTATTCGTTTTATCTTCTCCATTAAAGGTAAAAAAAGAAGGCTAGAGATAAGGTAATAAAAATAAAAACAGTACTTTGTGAAAATGTAAAAGTTTAATCAGTCCTCTTATAAACACCGAAACACAATTTAATCAATCGCGAATCAGCCTCTCCGCCTTCGGTAGTACATTAACTTCGACCAACTCAGGCATCGCGCGCGTGATGATTCATTGTTCCTCCTTCCGACGATGGATCCTCTGCATATACATCTGTAAAAATTGAAAACGATCTCAGAATCGTATGTGTAAAGTAATGAGAGAATAAAGCTTGTATTATCGACATACTTATAGGTATTGATTCATTATTCGTCCTTCCTAACATTGGATCCTCTGAACATGCTTCTGTAAAAATTAATAACGTTTTTACAATTATAATGAGAGAGTACTGAAAAAACAAAGTCTCTGTTATCGACATACTTACAGGTGTAGATTCAGTATTGTTCCTTCCCGACACTGGATCCTCTCCATATAATCTGTAAGAATTAAAATTGTTTTTAGAATTGTAAGGGCAAAGTAGTAAGGGAATAAAAATTGTATTATCGACATACTTACGGGTGTTGATTCATTATTCGTCCATCCCAGCACTGGATCCTCTGCATATGCTCCTGTAAAAATTAAAAACGGTTTTACAATTATAATGAGAGAGTACTGAACGGATAAAGTCTCTGTTATTGACGTACTTATAGATGTTGATTCATTATTGCTCGTTCCTGACACTGAATCCTCTGCATATGCAACTGTAAGAATTAAAATTGGTCTTACAATTGTACGTGTAAAGCCTTAGAGCATAAACTACGTTTATTAACGGTATACCTTAATGTAGTACGTTCACATCTTCATTGTGCATTTGTTTTTGAAATTGTTCAGTATATATATAATCTTTTCAAAGTAAGCCCTTTGGTAAGTAACCTAGCGATTATCTTTCGCTTTCTTCTCTATGTGCTCTTCCATTTATATACATATATGTTCCTAAAAATACAGGGTGTCCCAGAACTACTACTACGCACGAAAATGAGGAGGAGCTGAGGTGATTTTAAATAACTTTTTCCTTTGCGAAAAAGTTGTCCGAGGCGTGGTTATTGAGTTATTAACAAAAATCCCCACCCAATCAGAGCGCAAGTATACAAGGCGGGCAGGAGCGCGGCAACCGCCTCGTGCATTGCCGCGCCCGTATGTCACGCTCGTGACGAGAGCATAGGATTAAAGAAATGTTGCATGCAAAAACGAACTAACAAATTGGTTAAATATCAGAAGAAAGAAAGGGATTGACGTTACTTACATTCACTGAACAAATGTAACATGCTCAATGAAATAACAAACAACTTTACAAATTACAGGATAGGTAAAATTATGAAAAATGTGAAAAGAATCAGAGTTGAACTTACTTCTTCCTTGGTCAGTGCACCTGCTCGTAGAAGAACGTCAATGGGTCAATGGGTCGACCTTCGGCACTCGAAGATAGGACACATGGCTCGCAGCAGCTGATGCTTGGAGTAAGTCAATGACCTGCACCCGAT